GCGAGCCCCTCCTCCTCTTGGTAAGCACGAGGTTTTCAAAACACGACGCCAGCCTGGCAGTGCCCTGCGTGAGGCATCTCAGAGGCCCCGCTGCCTGCGCTCCGGCCTCCCGGGCTCACCGGGCACCTCTGCCTGCTCCAGGGTGAGGCACTGAAGCTCTTGCCTCTGTTGGAACCAAGGCCTCTCACAGCCCATCATCTCTGGGCCCCCAGTTCTTGCTGCTCCCGGCCTCAGGCCAGCCTGTGCCTGTGGCCACCCGCTTTGTGTAGAGTTTGTTCCTTGCCCAGGCTCTGCTCAGTGGTCCCTTCGCAGGGCAGCCCTCCCTGTGGCCCCGGAACGCACTGCCCCAGCCGGCACTTTCCTGCTTTGCATAATCTCAGCTGCGACATTTGTTTTTTATTATTATTATTATTATTATTATTATTATTATTATTTTAAAATCCTCACCTGAGGACACGTTTTTCATTGATTCCAGAGAGAGAGGAAGGGAGAGAGAGAGAAAAAAAAAGAAACATCGATGAGAGAGATAGATATCCATTGGCTGCCTCCTGAATACACCCCAACCGGGTATCAAACCTGCAACCTGGCTGCGTGCCTGACCGGAATCAAACCCATGCGACCCTCCAGAGCGAGGGCGGACGCTCTAACCCCTGAGCTACACAGGCCAGGCTGCAGGATTTAGTTTAAACGCGGCATTTCCCCTCCCGGTCCTCCAGTTCCGTGAAGGCAGGGACGCATCCTCCCCACCGTTCTCCCTCGGGTGTCCACGCAGGCCTTGGCCTTTGCGGGTGCTCAGCAGAGGTTGTGAGTGACTTCACCGCCTGAGCTGGTGTCACCTCCTCACTGTGTTGGTGCTGAAAGGCCGGGAGGACCCAAGGTCCCATGTAGCGAAGGGCAGAGGAAGATGACATTTCTAAGCGACGTGCTGTTATGCTCACTGTGGATTGACGTGTAGCTGTGAGAATAACACAGAGGGCTCCCAGGTGCCTTACCGGGTCCCCCAGGGGATGCCTAGCAGAACCACAGGACAGCATCACGCGGGAGAGGGGGGCGGGGGGGGGGGTGACGGGGACACCCCCGGACCCTTGGCCTCCGGCAGCTCTCCCAGGCTGACCGAGACTCTTCGGTGTGTGTGTTCAGTTCTGTACACTCTTATTGCCGGGAGCCGGTCCATGCTTGCTGTTTCAAGGGACCTGGCATATATGGCATACTGTTCTTAATATGTTTGCTCACCTTCTTGGCACTATGTGTTTTAACCAAGGTCTCTGAGAAAGGGTGTTTCCCCAGGTAGGGATTTTCCCCTGAAGTTAGGGAGGGAATAAAACCTCTTAACTAAGTGCCAGGCGGGAAATTAATCACTTTACTATGAACAATCATGCTTAAGCTACATAATCTTTACTCCCTGGAATGGAGATAAGAAACGCCCTAACCTTTGTAATAGAGATTGATAGGATTGAATCAACTGGTATAAATACAGATGTAATAAGACAGCTAGAGACAGAACTTAGAATACGGAACCAAGAGAAAGAGAACCTAGGCACAGAACCTACACAGAACGTTCTCTACAGACAGAAGAACTTCGCTGGAGAGAACATGGCAAAAGATCCTGCACTGAACCTGACTACAGAAATTGGCAAGAGAACCTGACTAGAACCTGGTGACTGAACCTGGCTGGAGAACCTGGACAGAACCTGGCTGGAGACCCTAGCAAGAGAACATGGCTACAGAACCTGGCTGGAGATCCTAAGCAGAACCTCTCTGGAGATCCAGACCAGAACTTGGCTGGAGATCCTGGCTGGAGATCCTGGCTAGGCTGCTGATCAACTGAACACTGCCTCCATGTCATTCCTTCTTTGCCGACTCCGTCCACACCTTTGGGGACCCCTGGACCCGCTGGGGTTGGACCCCAGCATCTGGCGCCCGAACAGGGACCCCTAGGTAAGCCCCACTCTCGGGATGGATAGGACTCCACCATAGGAAGAGGGTGGATAGTCTTCGCCGACTCCGTCCACACCTTTGGGAACCCCTGGAACAGGATTCCCCTAGGTAAGCCCCCCCCCCATTGAGAACCCCCACATTCGGGACGGATAGGACTCCACCAGGGTACTTCAGACCCCCCTATAGAGGATAAATAGGGTAAGAAGGTGGATAGTACAGAACTTAGATTGAGAAGATGTGCCATAATGAGTCCAAAGAAAGAAGACTCTGTATTGATCTTTAGATTAAGAAAATGTGCCATACTGAGTCTAAGGAAAAAAGACTCTGTATTGATATTTTAACACATATGCTTGCTAGCAGAGGAGTTAAGGTTACGCCCAGTCAGACAAAATGTTTTATACAAGAAGTATGTCCATGCTTTTCTGAGGAAGGAAAGGTGCCCGAAAGGTAAATGTAGAGGCATGGGAGAAGGTAGGCCCAAGGAGCCTTATCCTTAACCCCACTGCAGCCTTTCTACCCCGGGAAAGTGCAGGATTGGCAAGCTCTCCCTGGGGTGATTGATCAGGACTCAGGTAATAGCGGAAAGCGCCAATCCTACTCTTAAAATGGATACAAGAGATCATTTGGGGTTTTTCTTTTTAATGCTGGCTTTTAAAAAATAAAAAAGGGGGAATTTGCCGGGAGCGGGTCCATGCTTGCTGTTTCAAGGGACCTGGCATATATGGCATACTGTTCTTAATATGTTTGCTCACCTTCTTGGCACTATGTGTTTTAACCAAGGTCTCTGAGAAAGGGTGTTTCCCCAGGTAGGGATTTTCCCCTGAAGTTAGGGAGGGAATAAAACCTCTTAACTAAGTGCCAGGCGGGAAATTAATCACTTTACTATGAACAATCATGCTTAAGCTACATAATCTTTACTCCCTGGAATGGAGATAAGAAACGCCCTAACCTTTGTAATAGAGATTGATAGGATTGAATCAACTGGTATAAATACAGATGTAATAAGACAGCTAGAGACAGAACTTAGAATACGGAACCAAGAGAAAGAGAACCTAGGCACAGAACCTACACAGAACGTTCTCTAGAGACAGAAGAACTTCGCTGGAGAGAACATGGCAAAAGATCCTGCACTGAACCTGACTACAGAAATTGGCAAGAGAACCTGACTAGAACCTGGTGACTGAACCTGGCTGGAGAACCTGGACAGAACCTGGCTGGAGAACCTAGTGAGGAAAAATGGCTACAGAACCTGGCTGGAGAACCTAGCAAGAGAACATGGACACAGAACCTGGCTGGAGATCCTAGCCAGAACTTCGCTGGAGATCCAGACCAGAACTTGGCTGGAGATCCGCGCTAGAGATCCTGGCTAGGCTGCTGATCAACTGAACGCTGTCTCTGTGTCATTCCTTCTTCGCCGACTCCGTCCACACCTTTGGGGACCCCTGGACCTGCTGGGGTTGGACCCCGGCATCTTATCCCAGGTTTGCGCTTCCTGCACCTCAGTCAGAATCCAGAACACCCCCTCGCCACCAGGTCCCGCCTCCTGTTCTCCTATGGCCACACCCCTCTCTCCCGCTGTCCCTAATCTGTCCTCCACCGCTAACACGTTATTTCAAAAGTGTTATCTAGCCGGTTTGGCTCAGCGGATAGAGCGTCGGCCGGCGGACTGAAGGGTCCCAGGTTGGATTCCGGTCAAGGGCATGTACCTTGGTTGTGGGCACATCCCAGTGGGGAGTGTGCAGGAGGCAGCTGATCGATGTTTCTCTCTCATTGATGTTTCTAACTCTCTATCTCTCTCCCTTCCTCTCTGTAAAAACAATCAATAAAATATATTTTTTAAAAAGTGTTATCTAAACAGAACATCGAGTGTGTCACCTTTTGGGCTCCCCCCCACCCCCGCCATCTCCCCGCCATCTCCCCATCTCCCCGCCCTCCACAGCACCTCTTTCTGAGCCAGTATCACCTCTGCACGATCTCAGAGCCCCAGGCAGGGGAGGGGAGGGCTGTTATTCCCATTTTACAGCTGCGCAAACTGAGCCCCTGAAACTCCAGAGCCAGCACTCTGGGTGACCTCCGCTCCCTCCCACAGCAGGGAGGAGGGCTCCTGTGGGGTGGTGGGCTGGGGCCAGGATGCAATGTCCTTGAGCCTTCCTCACCCCGCTGTGACCCAGCCTGCCCTCTGTGTGTGTGTGTGCGGTCCCCTCTGTCCCTCCCAGCCCCTCCCCAGGGCTGTCTCATCCCTCCACAGTGAGAAGGGACTGGGGGCCGCTGGGTCCACGGCCGCTGGCTTGAGGCCCTGCTTGGCCCTGAGAGCAAGGTGGCCCCGGCTGCGGCCCTCAGGCTCCCCCGGGTAGAAGGGGGAGGGGAAGGATCGCACCCTGCAGATCCGTGAAGATGCAATGAGGCAGCGGACGAGGAGCCGTTGGTAAGTGCCAGGCGCAGAGCGAGCCCCCAGCGCGCGCCGCCCGAGGCCCCATTTGGCAATGAATTATGTATGGCCTTCTGGCAGCCGCTCCCCGGGCTGGCGTTCTCCAGGCTTCTCCCGGCCGCTCTGCGGCGAGGCGCCGGCTCCCCGGTGGGGTGGCAGCGTCCTTTGTCTCCTGCAGGGCCCTGACCGGGTCTGCGGGGGCTGACTTCTCTGTGCCCACAATGCTCGTTTCACAGGCTGGAGGACCAAGGTCTGGGGTCAACTCAGACACATGAGGAGGAGGAGGAGGAGGAGGAGGAGGAGGAGGAGGAGGAGGAGGAGGAGGAGGAGGAGGAGGAGGAGGATGGAGCAGCAGCGTCGATAACAACAGTGACGGCGATGGTACCAGCTGGGCTTTGTTGAGCCTTTTCGATGGACCAGGCACATTTAATGGACAGTTAGTTGTTCGTTTAACAGAAATCGGAGCGCCCGCCCCCTGCGGGCACTGTCCCAGGTGCTGAACGCTTGGGCGGCAGGGGAACCGCGTCCTGCCCGCATGGAGCTCCGGTTCTGCTGTGGGAGAGCAGGCAGCGACTCAGTGAGCAACTGAGGGCGTTCTATGTCAGCTGGTGGGGGCCCGTGGAGGAAGAGAAAGGGGGGTGGGGGGGTGGGAGGAGACAGGACCGTCAGGACAAGCCTCGCTAAGGAGGTGGCCTTTGAGCAGAGCCACAGGGCCCTGAAAGGCATCTCACGAGATGTCTGGGGAAGGAATGTTCTAGAAAGGAGCACAAAGTGCAGAGGGCTTGGGACAGGACGTGAGCCTGTGTCCGAGGCACCGCCGGCCGGCTGGTGTCGTGGGAGGCACCAGCTTCTCAGGGCGACCCTGTGAGCCGCCTCCTTCCTTTCTTTGTTTTTACTTTAAATATATTTTTATTTCAGAGAAGAAGGGAGAGGAGGTGGAAACATCAATGATGAGAGAGAACCATTGACCAGCTGCCTCCTGCACACCCCACACTGGCGATCGAGCCCGCAACATGGGCACATGCCCTTGACCAGAACTGAACTCAGGACCCTTTAGTCCGCAGGCCAACGCTCCAGCCACTGAGCCAAACCAGGGAGGGCTGTGCTGCCTCATTTTTGAGAGGAGGAAATTGAGTCCGGGTTTATTTATAACTAGAGGCCCAGTGCACTGGAGGGGGTGGGGGGATGGGGGGTGTCCCTCAGCCCCACTTATGCCCCCTCACAGTCTGGGACCACTCGGGAGATAACCACCTGCTGGCTTAGGCCCGCTCCCCGGGTGGCAGATGGCAGGCCCGATCCCTTGGCGCATGCCCCGCCTCCCCGGGTCGCGCACACAGCAGGGCCGATCAGGGGGTTGGGGCGCCGCCCCGGGTTGGGTCGCATACAAGACGCCTGGACGGTGGCCGGGTGGGCCAGTGGATTGCTGCTGCCCCGCCCGGCCACCCCGGGTCGGGTTGTACACGGACGCCCGCCGCCCCGGGTCACAGATAGCAGGCCCAGATGGTGGCGGGGCAGGCGGGATGGCGCTGTCCCGCCCTGCCTGCGTATGCAAATTAGCCGCCATCTTTGTTGGCGGTTAATTTGCATATCACACTGAATAGCCAATGGGAGGCATAGCGAAGGTACGGTCAATTACCATGTTTGTCTATTATCAGATAGGATCTTTGTCCATATGCGTTGCTGCAGACAGATTCATGTCTGATTACAGGGGCTGCCCCATGCGTCAGCGGGGGACTGGGAAATGTGTAGCATGTGTCTTTCCACAACTGGAAACGTTCCGAGTGGGGGACTGTCTGCCTACCAGGGATTTGGGGTCAGGGATGGGGAGCTTGTGTGTGCGGGTCTTCACCGTTCCTGCCGCGGACCATCACCAGCTGTGTCACCGGCTGCTCTTGTTTCCCTCCTTCACCGGCCCGTAACCTCCCAGGACAGCATTTCATCACCCACAGACAGGAGGTGCTGTCTCTGCTGGCCCACAGCCCCCTTCCCCCTGCCATAGGACCATGCTGGGCGTTCCAAGTCAAGTCAAGGCCTGGGGAGCCGCGACACAGGCCCCTGGCCGCAGGGCCCCGAGGCAGGCCGCGGTGGCGGGCACGGAGCTCATCCATGGATCTGCCGGACCGGCCTTGGCGGCTGAGAGATGCTCAGGCCCAGGGGCTTGCGCTGCTGACATCTGCCTCGATGGCCGGGTGATGAATGAATGGCGAGCATCCCCCTTCCATCTCTGACTGGACGTGAGAGGTTCCTGGCAGCCCAGGAGCAGGGAGGAGGCGAAGAATCAAAATGGCTCTGCAGGGGGAGGAGTGGCCGGAGGGGAGGACGAATCTGCTGGGAAGGAGGAGCCACTCGCAGGGGCCTCCTCCCAGCCTCCTGGCCTCCAGGTTTGCTTTCTAGACCATCCTGCAAAGGTTCCAGATGATTCTCCCTTGGTACTCCTCCTCCCTGAGCCGCCTGTGCCGGCCTCTGAAGGCCCGCTTCCTGCAGGAGCACACCGGCTCCCTCACCTGCACGGCTGGTCCACTCGTGGCCCGGCTGGCTCTTCCTCATCCTCCAGGGCAGGGCTGGCTCCTCCTCCTGCAGAAAGACTTCCTGGATGCAGGCCCCTCCCCTGACTCCCAGGCCCTGGGTCCCTGGCCTCAGCAGAAGCCCCTCCAGATGGACACTGGCTGACGGGCCCGCCCACTCCGGGCCGTGGTCTCATGGACAGAACGCACGTTGGCTTCTGTCTCTCCCAGCCTGGCCGGGGCCGTGTGCCAGGAAGGGCTCAAGGAAGCCCAGGGCGGGAGTGGGAATGGGATGGCAGCGTTTATTGAGCTTCTGCTCCATGCCAAGCCCGTGATGCGGAGTTAGGTCCGCCTCTGGCTGCACCCGCCGCCCTGGGCTGTTCTCTTTTAACCTGTACAATGGGCGCAACCCTCGGTCCTTCCCAGCAGTGCTGTGAGGACAAAGGAATGGTTCATGCCAAGGGCTCCTCTCAGCCCCAGCACTCAGTAAGCATTTAGCTGTTCCTATTACTGGTGGTTAGTGGGGTTCCAGAGCCAGCCTCTGTGGCTTCAAATCCAGGCTCCTCCACTTACTGGCTTTGACTTTAGGCAAGTTACTTAACCTCTCGGCCTCAGTTTCCTCATCTGTAAAATGGGACAAATCATAGGCTTTCTCCCTCTCTCTCTCTCTCTCTCTCTCTCTCTCTCTCTCTCTCTCTCTCCTGCCCTGCCTCCCTCCCTCCCAGGGCTGTTGGGAGTATTACATAAGTGGATATGTGGACGATTTGCAGTGGTTGGAGCTGGAAAAGGGCTGAGCAAACACTGGATGGTATCATTACTGTGTTAGGATCACTCCAAGGGCCTCAATTCTGACACCAGCGAGGAGACTGGAGCTTCTGGGGAATCTTCCAGAATTGCTGATGTGAGTCAGGGCAGGGATGGGCTTTAGAACTTGTGAACATTGACCTCCCACCCCTGTATCTCCTGAAACTGCTCCATCCATGTCTGACGGTCTTTGTCACCAGAAAGTTCTTCCTTGTACTGACCCTAGGTCCCTCTGGGGCTGGTTTCTCTGGGTTCCCATCCAGGCCTGGATGGAAAGAATCCCAGAGCCTCCCAGCTCGGCCCAGAGTCCAGTGAGGTGAGCAGTCCCCAGCCCCTGGGATGGGGGGGGGGGGGGGGCGTGTTGCTGGGCTCAGTCTCCCCAAACGTCTCCCAGCCAGAGCCAAATGCAAAGACACCTCTGTCCCCTGCATTTCAGGCCTCGGGGATGGACAGGGTGAATGTGCGCCTGAGGGTGGGAGCGGGAGAGGGAGAGAGAAGTGAGGGTCCTTGCAGGAGGGAGGCAGGACGGGGGACAGGCAGGCCAGAGGGGAAGGGCTGTGGGAAAGGGAGGGTGTGGGGCAGGCCGCAGGGCTGGGAAAGGGAGCCAGGGAGGCCTGCGAGCACCGGAGAGGGAGGCTCATACCAGACACTGTCTAGACGCAGCAATTATTGTCAGCGCAGAACACCCAGGCTCTGCCGGCTCAGCTGAAAGGGAGCTTAACAAAGAGCTGAGCGAGGAAGAAAGCAGGAGAAAAGCGCCCGTGGAGCCGGCTCCTCGCCTGGGGGGCTCTTTCTCTGCCTGGCGACCCCCCTTTGTGCTCCACAGAGATGCCCCATCAGGCCAGGGTCACGTGTGGGTTTGGGGGCGGGAGAGTAGGGTGTCCTGCGGGGGGATGCCTTTTGCACTCGCGGTTCATGGTTTAGAGGGTCGTGGCAGCGGGGACCAGGAGAGAGCAGCTAGGGACTCGGAAGCCCAGTCCTCCTTCCCGCTGCTGTGTGGCGCCGGCCAGTTATCCATTCTTCTGAGCCTTGGTTTTCTCATCTGCAAAATGGGCACAATAGCACCCGCTGACCTGTGCAGAGGTGGTGGTAAGCCGACTGCTCTCCAGTCCTGGAGCCCATGCCCCTCGCCATCCTGCAGGTCCCCAAGGGACAGGCCACTTCCCTCGCTCAGGGCCTGACCGCCAGCCTTTCTCTGTCTCAGATGAAGAAACTGGAGCACACACAGGCCAGAGCTCACGGCCAGTCGGCAATGGGTTTGGACTCAGGTCCATGTGTGAATCTTAGCCATGACTTTCAGATGTGCACCTGACCCGGGAGTGGGAGGGCTAGTGGTAGGTGGCAGGACTGATGCGCAAGCCATAGGCCCAGGAAATCCACGAGCCTGCAGGTGGGGTCAGAGCCGCGGGGGCCAGGCCACTACCCCGGTGCTGTCTGGGACCGGGCCCCTGCCGATCCACTGAGCCCTGGGATGAAGGGCAGCTCTGGGCTGAGCAGACCAGCCCTCCCATCCCGGGAGGGGACAGACCGGCCCTGAGAGGGAAGTGGGCGTGCTGGTCCCGGGATGCTATGACCAGGCCTCTCCGTGCCCTGCAGTAGTTACCGGTACAGACATTGCCCTCTGGCCAATAATCCGGCACCGCCCCTGGCTCCTCGGGGCGGGGTCAGATTGGCTCCCGAGCCACAGGGTGGGCGGTGAAAGCCGTGGTGCTGGGTGGCAGAGCAAGGGCCGGGGCTGTGGCCACATCCAACCACATCCTCTAGTCTGGCCTGGTCAGGCTGTTCCTGGTCCTGGAGGGGTTGGGTGTGACCCTGGGTCCTGCCTCAAGTGAAGGGCAGGACACTCTGTACAAGGGACACACACTCACTGTCACACACTCACACCCGCAGGCTGCCCCCAGCTGGGCCCCTGACCCCAGTCATACACATGCCCTCTCTAGCTTTGGGGTGCAGGCACCAGCTGCTGAGACTCAGCGCCACCCCTACCCCTGGCCCCAGCCACCCATTTGCTGAGCTGTGTCCAGTGCTGGAAAGTACCCTCGGTGCCCACACCTGCAGCTCAGCAGTGACCCCTTTGCCTGCAGTCAAGGCCTAGCATGACCCAGACTCAGCCCCTCTTTATGGAAGATTCCACGGTCCCACAGGTGGGTTCCTTTTGCCCTTCTCCTCTCTGTGCCTTGCTCAAGCTGTTCCCTCTGCCTGTGCCCCCCTCCCCCCAATGTCCCAACACAAATGCCTGGCCTATCAGCCTTCTCCCCTTGGCTGCCCTGGGCAGGGAGCTGGTGCCAGGATCCCTTCTTGGGCAAGCCAGAGCCTAGCACCTCCCCGATACCTCCTCAGCCTCCTTCAACAACAACTCCCCCCCCCCCCCCGCCCCTCCCCGCACACCACGGCACACAAGCTCCTGTCCTCTGTACCTCCCGCATCAGGGCCAGGCCGGCCTCCCTCCATCTCAGAGGCCACAGCCGGAGCCAGGCTGCCTTCTCTCTCCCAAGACCTGGGGACCACCTCCCTGCATCCACTCCTGTCCCCTCCTGTCCTGAGTGAGCTTGGCAGACCTGGTCTCCTCTCTCTGCTCTGGAGACTCTTCCAAAGCTCCCAGCGGCCTCCAGGGCACGGGCCACAGTCCTGGGCCACACCCACCCTCTCTCTGATCCTCTCTCAGGCTCTCGGGACGCCATCCACGCTGTCCCAGCCCCTCTTCCCTCATTAGCCGTCCTGGTCCTCAGGCCCCCCTCCCATAACCCTGCGGAGGTCAGGCCCCTGGGACCAGCCTTCCCAGCCCTGCAGGTCCCCTCCCAGCCGGATGCCCACTTGTCCTGATTTGATGCATTATTCATGAAGCTTGTGCAGGACTGCGAGCCCCATGTGGGCCGGCTCTTGTTTGTCACTGTGTCCCCAGCACCCTCCCTCAGGCCCCCTCTCCAGGCTTGGTTTTCAGCCCCACTCCACCCTAAGGCAGGAGAAAGGGGGCCCCATCCCTAGGAGGCCATGGGGCTCAGGACCACCTGCCTCGCTCCTCCCCCAGGCGTCCCCACACAGGCAAGGCCGTGTCTGTGCACAGGCTGCAGGCTGGACAGCACGCTAGGGCAGGGCTGTAGCTGCCTTGTGCTCCCCCCCACCCCCAACCCCACTCTTCAAGCCCCAGTGCCGGCCAGAGCCCTGGGCTGCTGGTGCCCAGCAGGGCCGTTCTCAGCCCCAGCACAGGAAGGCGGGTGGGCAGCCAGAGGTGGTCCTGCAGGAGAGCTTCACAGAGGGTGCAGGGAGGGGCGAGGAGGGTGGCAGCGCCCCCTTCCATCCAGGCCCCTCCCAGAGACCCTGCCAGCTGCCTCCCCAACTCCAGCAGGCCCTGCCTCTCCTTCCCTCCCCTCCATCAGGCCTCAGCCAGCACTCTCCTCCCTGCCCTTCCCCCTTCCCTCCGCTCTCCTTCCTTTCCCCAGTCCCCCCCCCCTCCCCCTTCTCTGCTCTCCTTGCCTCCCTTCTCCTCTCCTCCTCTCCTCTCTCCCCGAGTCCTTCTCCCTCGCCTCCTTCCTTTCTTCTTCTGGGTTAAAAATAATCAACTTTCTGGGAAGCAGCAGCGCCTGCTGAGCGCCCTCCCCACACGGGGAGCCCCTGAGAATAGCTTTCTGCGGTTCCCAGCGCCAGCCCCTCCTCCCCTGCGCCCCTCCCCCTCCCCGCGAGCGAGCTGACGAATAAGCCGGCCGCGGCGGCCGAGCCAGCTCGGCTGGAAAGGCATTAAACCGCTCCTTGTCCAGACGGCGGCCGGTGCGCAGCCCCGCAGGCCGGCCCGGAGGGGCGCGCAGCCCTGGCCGCCTCCCGGCCTGGAGCTAAGCCGCTCGTGTCAGACGCTCCATCAATATTGATGGTTGCATGAACCCTGCCCTCTGCCCACCAAGCCAGCTGCCTCTGCAGCTCCTGCGGGGCTCGGTGGCAGCGAAGGGGCATCCGGGGAGCGTCAGGCGCGCACGTCCAATGGATGGGGAGAGGCTGCGGCGTCGCCGCCACGTGGAGGGTGTGGCTGCCGGGAAGCCTCGCTGCGCTGGGCCCGGAGCTCCCAGCCCACCCCGCCCCACCCCCCGAGGGCGCTGGGCACCCCAGGAGGGCCAGGGCCGCGCCATAAACGTGTAGGCCAAGGGCAGGGAGGGACCCAAACTGTCCTGGGACCCATGGACGCCCACGCTGGTCTGGCCTTCAGTGATCATCGCCGCCCATCTTGCAAACAGGGAAACTGAGGCCAGAGGAGGCAGCTTGTCTCCGGTTCCTGCCGCAGACGTCAGAGGAGACCTTAGGAAGGAAAAGGAAAGGACGAGGCCCTAGGGCCCTCCCGGGGGGCTGCGGGGTGCGGGGGGACATCAAGGTCGAAGGTGAGGAGTAGGTGGGGGAGTGGGTGGGGGGAGAAGGACCGCGAGCACCGCCAGTCCCCGCCGGCTCCGCCCACCCCGCGCGGCCGGCATTACCTCACCGCCGCGCGCGCCCATTGGCTGGTTCTCCCGGAGGCCGGCCCAATGCGGCGGCGCCGTTAACCCGCCCCGCGCTGCGGGCTCGCCCGGCGCCGCCGCCCCACGTGGCCCAGAGGCCCCGGACACCCGGAGACGCAGCGCGGAGGCGGGTCCGCGACCGGGGAGCCCAGTGGTCTGCGCACTGGCTCACGCAGCCGGGCGTGGGCCTCGCCCCGGGACGGGCTGTGTGACCTTGAGCAGCCGGCCTCGCCCCCCTGAGCCTCCTTCCCGTGTTTTCTCAGCTGGAAGAGGGGATGATGTAACGCCCGCCTCCCCGACTCCTTCCCCGCTCTCGCCAAGCGCCAGCACACGTGGGCTCCCGGTCCACGCCGCGAGGCACCGTTATGATTCTGGGTTTTCAGAGAGGAGGCCCCTCAGAGCAGCAAAGCCGCCTCCCAGGGTCACACAGCCAGGAAGCCACCCAGCTGGGATGTAACCCCAAGTCTGTGTGGGTTCTGAGCCTGGACCCTGCTCAGTGCAAGATCCTGCTTCTGCTGCCGGCGGCGACTGCTTCTAGGAGCTTCCGGTCCCGTGCCAGTCAGACCACCATGCACCACTGCGACCCAGTGACGCCTGCGACAAGCTGGAGAGCCAGGGCCTGGAGGGAGGGAGGGCTTCCTGGAGGAGGAGGAGGAGCTGCAGCTGAACCTTCAAAGGGGGAGGCAGACAAGGACCGAGGGACCGGACAGACACGTGAGGGCACATAGTGGGGTCCGGAAGCTCGGAAGGGAGCCTGCAGGATCCCCTGGGGTCAACCGCTAGTCAAGGGTCAGCCGGGGGAAGCTGAGGTGCGGCTCTGGAAAGCTCCTGGGGTAGCCCTTGGGGGCAGGAGCACAAGCAGAGGCTCACGCCGCATGTCTGAGGATTTGAAAGTCATAAATCAAACCAACAAACTGCTCAGTAAAGTGTGTTCTGACCTCCGTCTTGACAAATTCGCCTTCCTGAGGGCAGATACACCTGGAGGCTGGGGTTGTGCTTAGAAGTCTGGGCTCGGTGCTGGAAGCGGCGGGGAGCGCGGCGACCCTGCCGGCGGCCTCCCTCCCGCTTGGCAGCCGTCTTCTCTCCGCCCCAGCTCCCATCCTTTCCCCAGAGGGGTTTGCAGTTCAGGTGTGGACACTCCAGCCTGTGAGTGCGGACTGTCCACGCCCCTGCCAGCAGCCACTCCTCGGCCAGCCTGGGGCTTAGGGGCGGCTCAGACCACCTGCAGGAGGAAGGACCCAGGAAACGGATGGGCCATCGAGCAGGGGCTTCCAGGGGCCCGGTTGTGCAGATCACAGATCTAGTTGGGCATGTCTCCTTGATCCAAGGATTCCGGCCCTCATGAGGCAGGACACGGTGCGAGAGGGCCAGAGTGTGCCCGCTAAAGCCTAGACTCAGGTCCAAGGGCGCTGCTGAGGTCCCTGGTGCTGTGCAGCTGGGAGGGGGGCAGTGGGTGGACTCAGCTGGATGCAAGATAAGATCTCCCTTCCTCCTTGAACTTGCTCCCATCATCACATCCAGCCCGGAACTCCAACCCTGGCCTGGTCCTAGGTGCCATCCCCCACTCCTCCTTCCCAACTCCAGCCCAGTACTTACCAAGACCTGAGGAGTGACCCACCTAAAGAAGTCAGCTCCCTTCACCCCCTGCCCACTGCCCGTGCCACTATCCAGACTGGGCTCCCAGGCCCCACTCTCTGCCCATCTCTCTGTCCAATGCGCGCTACCTGCTGGCCAGACAGACCTTCGTAAATGCACGCTGACCACTGCCTTCCCTCTAACCATCCCCGGCTCTCCAACTCCATGTTTCATTCCCAGCTCCGATGCCTGGCTCCCCTCAGCCTCTCCGCCCCCTCATCCCCTTCGGTTCTGCGCTCTGGTCACGTGCACCTCCTCTCCGGTCTGGGCAGCATGTTCTGTCTGCTCCCAGGTCTGCCTGCATGTTATGCCCTCTGCCTACAACACTGCTTTCTGCTCCCCGTCTTGCCAATCTCAGCCTAAGTGTCCCCACCCTGGGCACCCTCCCTGGACCCCTGGGCCAGCAGAAACCTGTGGTGGGTTTTCTCCGTATATGCCCGAAAGGTGTCCTGGCACAGGGAGGGTAACAGTGTGGCACCTAATGAGCTGACTAGCTCTGGGGTTACCTGTTCCAGATGTGTCTCCCACCTGGGCTGTGAGTGCCAGAGGGCAGGCTGTCCGTCTTATTTGCTGCTCCATCTTCAGTGTTGGCACTGAAGGTCCCCTGGACAGATGGGCGCCTGGCGACAGAGGACGGTCCCCGTTTGTTGCATGCTCACCGTTCAGGGCCCCCTTTCTAAGCGTATGTGTGGAGTCACTCACTCATTTCTCACAACTACCTTTGAAGTAGGAACTATCATTCTCTCCTTTCTACCAAATGAGGACACCGAGGCACAGGAGAGTTCGGAGACTCCGCTCACAGCTGGCAAGCAGCAGATCAGATTTGAACCTGGGCAGTTCCAAATACCACGATGGGGGTGGGGGCGAGGTGAGAGGCAGTGAGCCCGGAGGAGGGGCACTAATGCAGCTTTGATGTGTGCTGTATGGTCTCTGTGTGAATGTGTGTGTGTATTGTGTGGTCAGGGTAAGTAAGATGTGTATTTTGAATGGTGAATGTGATATATGTGGGGTATGTGTGCCTGCGGCCTATGGCATATGGAGTACATGAGCGTGCATGTGTGCGTGTGTGTGCATGTGTGTGCATGTGTGTGTGTGGTGTGATCTGTGTGATGTGGGGGAGTGAGTGCTGGTGTGTGCATGTGTCTGTGTGTGTGTGTGTGTGTGTGATCTGTGTGATGTGGGAGTGAGTGCTGGTGTGTGTGTGTGCACGTGTCTGTGTGTGTGTGTGTGTGATCTGTGTGATGTGGGAGTGAGTGCTGGTGTGTGTGTCTGTGTGTGTGTGGTGTGATCTGTGTGATGTGGGGAGTGAGTGCTGGTGTACGTGTGTGTGTGTGTGTGTGTCTGTGTGTGTGTGTGGTGTGATCTGTGTGATGTGGGAGTGAGTGCTGGTGTGTGTGTGTGTGTCTGTGTGTGTGTGTGTCTGTGTGTGTGTGGTGTGATCTGTGTGATGTGGGGAGTGAGTGCTGGTGTGTATGTGTGTGTGTGTGTGGTATGATCTGTGTGGTGTGGGAATGAGTGCTGGTGTGTGTGTGTATATGTGTGATCTGTGTGATGTGGGGAGTGTGTGTGTGTGTGTGGTGTGATCTGTGTGGTGTGGGAATGAGTGCTGGTGTGTGTGTGTGTGTGTATATGTGTGATCTGTGTGATGTGGGGAGTGTGTGTGTGTGCACATGTCTGTGTGTGTGTGGTGTGATCTGTGTGATGTAGGGAGTGAGTGCTGGTGTGTGTGTGTGTGTGTGTGTGTGTGTGGTATGATCTGTGTGGTGTGGAATGGGTGCTGGTGTGTGTGTGTGTGTGTGTGTGTGTGTGATCTGTGTGATGTGGGGAGTGTGTGTGTGTGGTGTGATCTGTGTGGTGTGGGAATGAGTGCTGGTGTGTGTGTGTGTATATGTGTGATCTGTGTGATGTGGGGAGTGTGTGTGTGTGCACATGTCTGTGTGTGTGTGGTGTGATCTGTGTGATGTGGGAGTGAGTGCTGGTGTGTGTGTGTGTGGTGGTAACTGGGACACTCCCCAGGGGAAGCGCTAGGCGAGATGGAGGAGATGTTAACCAGGAAATGGGAGAGGAGAGACAGTGCTCTGGTCAGAGGGGAGGGAACAGCCCTTGCAAAGAGGCGGCCTGGCGGCCTGGAGGACTTGAAAGGGTGCAGGAGACAGGCAGAGGGAGGGGGAGGCGGGGCAGGCCCTTCTCTGTTGGCTGCAGGGTGGGGGGGGGGGGCAGGGCTGCGGAGGAGTTGAAGGGGTTGAGCCGCACTAACTGGGGGAGGGGTGGTCCCGGACCAGGGCCAGATGCCGCCTGGGACACAGAATCTGGGAGGCATGTGGTCTAGGACTCCAGACCTGAGCCCAGGGGTGGGCAAACTTTCTGACTCGAGGGCCACAATGGGTTCTTAAACTGGACCGGAGGGCCGGGACAAAAGCATGGATGGAGTGTTTGTGTGAACTAATATAAATTCAAAGTAAACATCATTACATTAAAGGGTACGGTCTTTTTTTTTTTTAGTTTTATTCATTTCAAACGGGCTGGATCCGGCCCACGGGCCGTAGTTTGCCCACGGCCTAGTCCCTGCTCAACCCCTGAGAGCAGTAGGTTCTTAGTTTCCCACCTACAAAATGGGTCCCAAGATTATGTGCCAAAGGCCCAGGAAAGAGGCAGGGAACTGCAGCTGTTGTTGGCGGACTCTCTCTGGGCTGCTCTGGCGAAGGGCTGGGCAGCATTTGCTAACAAGTTTCCTAGCACTCAGAGACCGGAGGCTCTGGAGATGGCAGGCCTGGCGCAGTGCTCAGCTGTTAGCACTCGCTTACACACACTCCTGTTAGCACAGGCAGGTCAGGGGATGAGGAGGGGAAGGGCGGGGCGAGTGGGAGTCAGAATTTGAACCCAGGTGAAGGCCGCCAATGTGACAGCGGTTGCCCAGTAGCCTTCACACTGCAACGCGTCTTTCCCCCTCTGACCCTCTCCCCTCACAGAGTCCACGCGGTTATTATGCTGGATTCGCTCCTGTTTTAGAGATGGGAAAGCTGGCCGGTTACCTACGGCCCGGCCAGGACTCCAGCCCAGGCGCCCTGGTCCCGCTCCCAGCACTCCACCCCCTTGGATGGTTCGTGGGGGGTTTCTCAGCATATGCCCTCAAGGTGACCTGGCTCCTGGGGGGTAACAGGGCGTGGCCCCCAGAAAGAAGGGGAGCTGGGGGCCCAGCTCTAGTGCCCACCTGCTGTGTGGCCCCGGCTCTGGGCTCACAGTTCGCTTCAGTGGTTCTCAACCTTCCTAACGCCACGACCCTTGAACACAGTTCCTCATGTTGTGGTGACCCCCAATTCCATGGTTACAAATTGATCATGAAAGCACAGTGATTCATCACAAAACAATATGTAATTATATATGTGTGTTTTCCGATGGTCTTAGGCGACCCCTGTGAAAGGGTCGCTCGACCCCCAAAGGGGTCGCGACCCACAGGTTGAGAACCCTGGGCCTGAGGGCGCCTGGGCAGGTTGTTTTGCTCAGTGGCAGATGCGGACACTGAAGTCCTGAGAGCTTAAAGGATTTGCCCCGGGTCGGCCCCTCCCCATCAGGTGACCGGGATTCTGACCTGGAACCCAGGGTGTGCCCTGCACTGCGGTCGCCTCCCCGGCCCTGGAGCGACGTCCGGTCCCCAGCGGCCGCCCCCCGCGGTTCCTGGCCCCGCCGGTTTGACGTCAGGCCGGGCCAGCGGGGCCGGCGCTGCACAAACAGACGGCGTGGCCCGGCGGGGGCGGCGATGACTCAGGGTCCCGAGACGCGCCGGGAAGCGGAAAGTTTGGTGCCGATGACATCACCGGCCGCGAGGGCGAGGGCGGGAGGGGCCGGCTCCGGGAAGCGGCGGCCTGGCGGGCGGCCCGGGGCCGGGCGGAGGGGCGGTCGCGGGGCGGGAGCTGGAAGCCGGGACCGAAAACGACCCCCCGCCCAGCCCCCGTTCCCGAGCCGGCCGGAGCCGGAGCCGCGCCTGGAAGCGCCGCGCTCCCCAGCGCTCCGGAGGCGCCGCATCCAGCCTGCTGCGTCCCTGCATGTTAATTACCGCCACATTAATATTCATGAGCCGGGACTCGAGGGGACCGCGGGCTGTCACTTCCCTCGCCCGCGCACCCCCACCCTGCACCCCCCTCTTCCCGGGCTGAGTCGTGGATTTTTCCCTCCTGCTCCCCGCCCCGCCCGCGCCAACAGTTGGTGCACAGCGGCTCCGGGTTCAGGAGCGTGAGCAGGAGTGTGAGCCGGGGTGGGTGCCCCGGGCCAGGGCGAGGCGAGCTGGGGGACTGGGACACAGGAGGGCGCTGAGTGTGAGTGTGGGATGTGCCTGTGGCCTGTGTGTAAACAAACCCGTGTGTGTGTGTGTGTGTGTGTGTGTGTGTGTGAATATTTGCCTGTGTGGGTCTGTTTGTGTGCACATGTGTGTGTCCCCGTGTCATGTGCTGTGTGCACACATGTCCCTGTGTGAGTGTGGGTCTGTGTGTATGGGTATGGGTGCCTGTGTGTCCAGGCAATCCCAGGAACTGTGTGCAGATCTGGCCTGGGCTTGGCGAAGGGTCAAGACTGTCCGGGTTAGCAGGGCCTGATTCTGCAAATGGAGACAGGTCTGGAGAGAGGCTGGGCCTTGCGCAGTCATCCAATAAGGCAGTGGCACCCCTAAGCCAATGGCACAGTGGCCCCCAAGCCCGGCTGGCTGATGGGCAGTTCGGTCCACCCCTCCACGTCCTCCTCCCCCTCCACGCCCTCCTGTGCTGTTACCTACAATGGCAGGGAGGACATGCTGAGCTGGTGCCTGGCTTGCGACCTTCCCAGCAACCCGGTGCAGCAGGTGGTGCTATCAGTCCCCTTTACAGATGGGGAAATTGAGGCAACTGGTCCAGTTAGTGAGGGGTGGAGCCGTGCTCCCCCTGTGGGATTGTGTGTGTGGGTCCCCATTGGGGTGATCTGGGGGTCCCTGAAAGTCCCTCAGGGCTCCAGGCAATGCCCATGCCCAGGCACCAGAGGGGGCATTTCCCTCCCAAGTGGAGCTGCTTGCTGGGCCTCTTGCCTCCCCACCCCCAAAGCCTGTCCCCGCCAGCCTGCACATTGGGGGGAGGGGGGCGTCCACGGGAGGCTGGAGGTCTCGCTGCACAAAGGAGCAGGCGCCTTCAAGGCTCTTGGTCCCCCTCCCGGGCTGGGGGCTGGGGGCAGGCGATGCCTCATTCGTGCATTTGTTCCCCCGGCACAGGCTTATGTACCAGTCACTGTTCTTGGCACTGGGGATTCTGAGTTTACTAGGAGCCCACGCCACTCTTCCCAATTCTGGGCATCTCCACCCGGGGTTCTAAAGGGTTCTTTTCATCTCTGTGTGCACCCGTCCAGTAGGTGCCGGGGGTGAAGAGGGGCAGAAAAGTGCGGTGCCCCCTTCGGACTGGGGGGAAACAGCCAGGCTGTGCTGGGCAACCTGGATCTTCGCTTCTCTCTCCTGTTAGAATTCGTCCTCCTCCAGCCCCTAAGCCAAGTAATCCCAAGGGCTGGTCGATCCATCTCTCCCTGGGTTGAGCCAGGCCATCCTCCCTCTCACGTCCATCCTGCCCCAGGCCTGCCCAGAACAAGCCTGGTTCCCTCCTCTCATGTCCCAGCCATCCCCTCCTCCAGCCTCTCTTCCCTCCCAGGGCCGCTCCACAGGAACTCGGAAAAGGGGACAGGAGGTACAGTCCGGGACTCTCTGCAGAGGAAGTAATGGTTTCACTGGGCGTCCCCCGTCCAGCGGGAGTGTGTGTGTGGATGGTGGGAGAAGGGAGGAGAGGATCCAGGCAGAGTGGGGACTGCAGCTCCTCCTTCAGGGGCCAGAGGGACATGGGCAGACATTTCCCCTGCAGGGCCTGAGGCAGTGCAGCCTCGAGGTCAGGACTCCCAGGTGCGCCCACCTTCGGCAAAAATCCCACTGCCCCCTTAGGGTAAACGCTTGGGGAGACCACTGCACCCCCATTCTCCACTTGTCAAATGCTGAAGCCAACACTTTTTTTTTTTTTTTGCTTGATTATATTCAGATGGAGACACTGTCCTTAAAGCGCCTAGTACAGTGCCTGGCGCTCCACGTAGGACAGCAGTTTGTCCTCAAGGACATGGGGAGGCTGTTCCCAGGCAGGCTTAGCCCAGATGGGATTTGAAGATCGGCCTGTGTCCCGCAGCCCAGCCCGTGGGGAGGAGTGGGGGGGGGGACAGACTTCGTGGGAGGAGTAGAGACAGGCGGAATCTGTCACCTGCCAGACGGCTAAGGCTGGAGGTAAGAGGAGGTTCTCAAAAACCCCACAGCCCCACTGGCTGCGAGGTCGCCCATCACTCAAACAGCGGGAGAGCCAGCAGCCAGAGGGGCACTGGGCCCACCATCGTGGCTGCTTCCTGCCACAGCCTCCCACAGCTCTCTGCCTCCCGCTCCCCACTTTCCTTGGAAAATTTCCTTTCCTTTTTTTAATGTATAAGGCCATATCTATCTATCTATCTATCTATCTATCTATCTATATTCTTTTTTTTTAAAAGAAAACACTACAGAAGTTCACGCAGTGCTTCCTGGCCCTGTCCTTCCAGTTGTGGTTTTGTGTTTGTGTTTTTGTGTTTTGCGTGTGTTTTCAGGCCATTTCTCTGCTCAGAGAACTGTGTTTCTAAACCTCCCATAGGGTAGGATGACGTCCGCCTCTGCTCAAAGGCCGGCGACGGCTCCCCATTTCTGTCGCGCAAAGGTAGCTTTCTACGGCCTTGGCAGCCCAGCCCAGCCTGGCACCGCCACTGCGGCCTCTCTCCCCAACGTCCTCCAAGGCCCGAGCATGCGACATCCTCTCCCTCCGCCATGGCTTTGCCTGGCTGTGCCAGCCTCCAGGCCTGGCCTGTGCCCTCCACTGAACTCCCTTGTCATTGCTCAGGACCGGCCTTCCCTGTTTCCCGTGTGCCTCCCCTCGCAGCTCCTGCCTGCCCTGTTCCCCACCCTGCACCCCCCTCTCCCGGTGCCCCCATGTCACTGCTAACGTTTTACGTGGCACTTTTCACATCTAACTTTCACGAAGGTCTCCCTGCAGTCTTGTGTTCTCAATTAGGAGCATCTCGAAGGGCTGGTGCTTGAAGTGCTTTATTTATTTATTTTAATATATTTTATTGATTTTTTACAGAGAGGAAAGGAGAGGGATAGAGTTAGAAACATCGATGAGAGAGAAACATCGATCAGCTGCCTCCTGCACACCTCCTACTGGGGAGGTGCCCACAACCCAGGTACATGCCCTTGGCCAGAATTGAAATGGGACCTTTCAGTCCGCAGGCCGATGCTCTATCCACTGAGCCAAACCGGTTAGGGCAGAGGAGTTTTATTTTTAAAAACATTCAACTTGCTTTTTCTTTAGGGATTCAGGCTCTAAGCCAGCCGATCAGGGTTTGAATCCTGACTCTCATTTCCTAGCTGTGTGTCCTCAAGGAAGTGAATTGAACTCTCTGAGCCCCAGTTACTTCATCTGGAAAAGAAACAAAACCTCCCTCAAGAGCAACAGGGAGAGAGGTGGCTGTGGAACCCCAGCACCTCCTGCCACAGAGGCGGCCGTGTTCTGTGCCCTCATTAGTGCTGCTGCTCCGTGTTTTCGGCCTTGGACTCGCCCGGGTCACCTGTCCAGTTCGGAGCAGTGCAGGGGCTCGACCCCGGCCCCTCCCACTCCAGCGCTCCTCTGAGTGAGGGCCACAGGCCAATTTTGCAGACAGAGCACAAGGGCCAGAGATCCCCCCAGGGTCACAGCCCCCGGTTGAAGCAGGGGTCAGCCTGCCGGCCAGGTCTCCAGGCCACTCAGGACAGGGACTCCACAGCCCAGTGCAACCCTCCCTCCTAACTGGGAGCCTCCGCCGCTCCCTCTCCCCATGGCCAAGGAATCAGCTAAGTGGGACCCTTGAGGGCCTGGCGACCCCCACAGCTGGGGCAGTCACTAAAGCAAACAGCCCCCACACCGTGACCCTGATCTCATCTTCCAGGGGGTGCCCAGACTCTCGGGGTCCAGGGCTTGCTAAAGGGCACGGCCAGCAATGCTTCAGCCACAGCCCTCCACGGACCACCAGGGACAGGGCTGTGCTGGAACCGCTCTGGGGCTGTAGCTGGAGGCTAGGGGCTCCCCAAGGCCTGGAGTGCCTCCTTGTCCCCCACAACACCTGGGGGCGCCTCCCCAGTCCTGGCCCCGCAGAGCCTGCCCAACTTCATCTCTGAGCCGCACCCAAACTCTTCCCGGCTTTGCCAGGGAGACTGGAAATTTCTGTTCAGCAGCGGCTGGGTGATTTCAACACCGCTCAGCGAGGGGGGGGGGGGGCGGAGGGACGGGGGGGGGGGGGAGAGGGGGGAGGCGCGGGGGGAGGGGCTCCACAACAGGCCTGAGTTCACGCTCAGCACTCTGCGCAGGGAGGGACTCTGCTGGGCCTCCTGATCCCTCAGGAATAACAATAAACAACCGGCTCCAACATGGTGGCCTGAGTGCTCAGTGTGTGCCGGGCCCGGTGCTAGGTCAAGACTAGCATGGCCTCCACCTTCCAGCACCCAGGCCAGGCTGGCACTGGTCCTCACCCATCCCACCGCTGCTGCGTGGTGAAGGCGGCCACCCCAGGCCACACAGCCAGGAGCAGGCAGGGCTGGGAGGGGCCGGTGGTGGGCCGCGAAAGGAAACTGAGGCACACGGAAATCAACCATGGCCTGACCCCAAATTCTGCAGTCCAGGGGAAGGCCTGCTTAGAGCTGGGGTCTCTGTTAGCATCTAGAAGTGTCCTCCGGGGGC